TGAAGTTCTTAGGTTGAACACCGTTTCAGCTAGCCAAATATATTAGGTTGGAAAGAAAGTTATCGGAAAAACTTTGACTGGGATTCCTTAAAAATGAATCCACCCATTGAAGAACATTTTATTCTAGTATTTCCAAGTCGACTCCAAGAAATTACTCGTAAAAAAAGTGAGTGCAGCATTTCCGTTAAATTTTAGAGATTTTTGAAAATTATTATTTTTCCAGCTTAAATTCAGATCACTTTTTGCACCAGAAAAAGGATTCTTTATCAGGAAAAGCTAGCATGAATGAGCAATCCGCTCTATAATCTCTATATTTGGCCAAAAAGTTTTTACAGAGAAGCTGTATTTCAAAAAATAGTTTTTTTTAGTGTCATCTTCTCGGCACTGAGGGTTTTTGCTGAAATAGGTGATTCTGAAGAGTTAATTAGCTTTAGATTAAATTTGCCTTAATCACAAATTTTCCCTATTTTAAGTACTTGATTTTAGGTTTTGAATGGGACCCATTGCCTATTCATTAGCCCATTAAAACCCTGTCTAAAGGCTGGTCCCTCAAAAAGTGACCAAGTCACTTCAGCTGAAGAAATCTCTTATTTTTTTAATTTCTTAATTTTCTTACAAATTTAGCTTTTAAAAATTACAAGACAAAGGGATACAAAACAGCGGAAACAGTGATAACTATCTAGACATCATTTGTTTAGACAAAGCAAGAAAAAAAAGAACTCTCAACGTGCAAAAGCTGTTTCTCTTTTTCGTCCAGCTCTTCGCCACTTCCCGTTTCCAGGAAGTGCCCAGAGTGCACCACGAGAAGGTGGCTGGACTTCGCACTCCGCCACCCTGTAGTCCGAAGTCTCTTGGGATCCGAGGTCCACGTCTGGTCCTTGGCAATGGCACCGACTCCCACCACCGATCAGGAGAGCAACACCGATGATCTACAAGTGCTTTTTTACTTCTTTTTTATAAATAATATGCTTTATTCATTCAAGAATTCATTCATTCTCGTCTACACTACACTACACTCTAATGCGAAATGTGAAAGTTTCATTCAGACTCTTTTGTTTACAGAATTGTCTTCGCCGACTATGGTAAAGAGCGCTTCCATCGAGACGATTTTGTGAGTGATGTCTCAAAAGAGAAACCTGATATGTTGTCACTACCGAAATGTCCATCCCACTTTCAGAAGATCATCGAAAGGTTCCGAGCTTTTTTGTCTTACCAATTCAATTGTTGACACCTGCTCAGAAGTTGACCAAAACAGATAGCTTTTAGTTGCACCAACTTCAATCGGTGTTGAAGACGGATGGCCGCCGAGGTTCTCTATCAAATCAATAAGGTGTAGTCTTTTGAAGTGTCTCTCCTCTAAAACGCTTTATTTTCAGTCAATCGTAACGTTTGGTGGTTAAAGTACATGAGGTTAGGCTAGAAATGCGAAAATTTGCTAAAGTGTCATCAATCTATTAAGCATATTTGATTACCTTAGAATGGGTAAAAGGTAGCAAACAACCAGTCAAAACATTAGCTCCAAATGAGCCAGGATAAAAGTGGCTCTTCCCAACCATCAAAGTACTTTTGTTTTTTATAATTAAATAATTGCTCAGCTTTTCAGGTTGTGGTGAGTGCCGTTTCCAAGGTGAGCGATTTTCTCATTTTCGAATCAACTGATCAAGATCTTTAGCACTTTCGAGGCATCAAACATCTTGAAGCGTTGGGAGCTGGTAACTGCCAAAAATCGGAGATCTTATGTAAAGGGAATGTGTCAGTTGACGGACGATTACGCAATGCTTTATGTTCTCGAGCAATGTTCTCTACCGAACGCACATTCTGTGGTTTGGCAAAACCAAAAAGCAAAAGAACAAGGGGGACGGAGTCGAACCAGCGACCTTTGGTCTACCAGCTAGAGGCCATCCGGCTACTCCTCCGGTGTGTGTAGGATTCCCATTAAAGTGTTGTGTAAATCCCCAAAAATGCTTAATTTTAAGCTAAAAACTTTGAACCTTATATTTCAGTTATTTCTAGCATTTAGCAGCTAAAATTCAGAAAATTCTTATTTTGTGATGCTTATTCCCCCCTGTAATTTTGGAGTCGATCTGAGTAGTAGTAAGTAGTTATAGCTCCCTCGTTAGTTTTCTTGTGCATGCGTATAACAACCCCTTAGAATCACAATTTCTAAGGGTTTAAAGATATCTTATAGGAAAGAAAGAAAAGCAAGAAAGCCTGAAAATAAAGCCCTCAACTTCCAGTGGGGGCCTTTTCTTCAATAATGCCTTGTTTATATTGTAGAAATTATATATTATTTTTTAACTGTATTTTACTAACATTCCGTTTAATAATTGAATTAATTTTAGGTGGGGATTATTTTGGTACTTCGCAAGGAGGATATGGCGATTGGGGCCATGGTATCTTCGATATGAACGGTGTCTTCATCGCAAGCTTAGTCGCGAAGACGAATTTTGCTTTGTCGGATCTAAAAATTGATGATGGAGGATTGGCTGATCACCATCCTGAGACGAGAATGATTCCATCGGTTCTTGTTTTTGGCTATCTTCATTTTGATGGTCCAGGTGCAAATGTAAGTATCATTTTAATTCTAATTAAACATTCTTTTACATTTTTATTATTCTAGTTTTCGCCTACTGAAATAAAACATGCAGCCTAAATGAAGTGATTTCTTTAAAATTAGTCTTCTTGTTGTGACTTGTTCCAAGAATTATTGTTTTTGGATTTGAATTAAATTTATCCTTGATATGATATAAATAAAGATTATTTCATTTTATCTTTTATATATGTAACGTGATGCAAGACTTGTTTCAATTTTTTTTATGTGGATTTTTTTTTAATGGCATGTTTTACTTTGCATTTAACTTCTAATGAAACGAGTTTTGATGCTCATTTAGACAATAATTTATGGATAAAAATTATGAAATAGGTTTATCAAGAATAGAGGGTAAATTAGAAATTGATAACAAAATTAGTGCCAATCAAAACAACAACAAAATTTGATTATGTAGTTAAGGGAGATGATACAAATAATAATCAAGTTGATGAAAAGGATACTATGGCTATTCCAGAAGCTAAATACGATTTTAATGAATTAGTTAATAACACTTTTTAAATCCAACCGATCTTGAATATAAATTGGCCAAGAAGCTTTTCGAGATCAAAGGTTCAGGTTCAGGCGTTCAGGCGATGAAGCCTCAGGAATGGCAAGTGAGGTGTTAGGCTCTTTGAAAGATGAAGGGGGGTATTTCAAGTTAAATAATAAAATAAGATTAAAATTTTTGCAACATGCAACATGAATGGAAGGCTGAGATTATTGAAGTTATTTCTACAAAAGTTCCGCTTATTCTGGAAAAAGGTGAAATCATCACGGAAATCCGAAATCATCGATATTTATTCATTTATTTGTTTCCAATGCATAGTTAATTCAAAAATGTTTCTATCAATCTGTCGAAATTTCCCTTTTTTTCTTTTCTAAAGTAAAAGTAAAGTAAAGGCATTACTGTGGGGAATAGCCACTAATAAAAGTACACGAATCCTGGTAGTCTGAATATTGGCAAATTATAGAGGAAATCCTTGCGTCCTCATTCAATTTCTTGCCCCAAATAATTGTTTTTTTGTAGCAGTTTTCACTGAAATGAATATTGATTGTTTTCGGTTAACAACTAAACGAATCGGGCATTCCCCTCCTTTCCCTTTATTTTCCGTGATAAGAAATCCCAATTTTGCTTGGGAACAAATTTCTTGTTTGATTTTGTCTTCTCTCATCAATTCTACCTCTTTAGTAGCTGTTTCCTTGAATTTTCACTTGTTCTTCGGGAAAATTCAGTCATTTTGTAGGCATCCAATCGTCTAGCAACCGAAATGGACGATCTCTCGGATCCCCAACGCGAGGCCGATTTGTAGGTTTTTCGCCAAATCTTTGCTTCTATCAAAAACAGTCTTTGATTTAATTGAAGAGTTTAGAGAAGAAATGAAAAAAGAGATGAGTCAATTGACAGCAAAAATGGCTCAAATCAAGGCGTATTTAATGGGGGAAAACGCGAAGTTGGAGGCCGATTTGGTTGATGGAAGGGAGAGAAATCGAGAATTGGAAAGAAAAATCGACGAGACGAAAAGGGAGAACGACGATCTCGAAGCACAATTGTACTAATTTTCTAATTTCCTTTCAGACAGGCTCAAACTAAAATATAGATAAAGTTCGAAGTTTTCTAGAAGAGCTCGAAATACGGAAGTGAGAGACGGAAACGCAAAGATTGGAGAGCTCGACGGGAAAATCAACGCGTTACAGAGCAAAAACTCTGACCTCGAAAACCAAATGTGAGTTTATTTGGTATCTCTTGTCGACTGAGATTTGAGAAAACAGTTTTTTCATTCCCAAAACACCCATTTCACTCAATCGAATCAATTCCTCTCTAGACAATTTGAAAGAGAAAAAAACCGCCGAAATCATGAAGTTGCAGGCAAATTTGAGAATTTTTTTAAGGAAAAGGATTAAGTGTTCGTTTAAAAAGACCGAAATGTGGGTGAAATGAAGAAATCTTGAAGAATCTAAGCTCATCTTTTTCAGTAAATGTGAACAAAAAGCAAGAAGTGATGAGTTCACAAAGATCAACTCGAAAATCTCGCAAAGTGATAATCGATCGACGAAGATTAGTGCTGATTTGAAAGCCGAGATGTGAGTCTTGAGATCCCTTAAAGAAATATCTGAGAATGAAACACTTTAGAGATTCCAAAGTCGCCGAAATGTCAAGGACCATCTCTGCGAGAATGGCCCAAAACCAGGCGGATTTAATGGGAAAAATCGCGAAGATAGCTCCTCAAAAAGTATTCAAGAAAACATGGTTGAAGTAAATACATTTTAGGAAAAGAAAGACTCTGTTGATTTATTGCGTTCTCGCACTGGAGGCGCATGCATCCCACCAGCGAAGCTCCAAAACACCCATTCCACTCAAGCCAATCAATTCCTCTCTAGACATTCTGTAATAGACAAGAAAACGGCCGAAATGGTGAAGTTGCGGGCAGATTTGTGAGTTTTTTAAAGAAAAGGATTGGGTATTTGGCTAAAAAATCTGGAGTAAAGTTTTTCGAAGATTCAGAAATCGAATGACTTTCGTGGATCGCGATGGATGGTCGTATTTCGAAAAAACCGCTTCTTGGTACAAGGTTTGGTGGATGTTGTGAACCAGGATTACCTTCATCTCAAGGTTGTCGATCAAGAAATGACATTTGATGAAGCCGAGGCAGATTGTACGAGTCGAAAGAGCCATCTAGTCTCCATTCACAGTCAGGAAGAGAACGATTTTGTTTGGAAACTCGGTAAGAAATCGAAATTTAATTCTGAAGCTTCATGATTTTTGTAGAAATTTATGCTTTATAAACCAAAAACAATCGATATTTTATTCAGCGAAAAATGTTCATTCGTGTGCTGGGTTCTGGATCGGACTGAAGGTTGAATTTTTCTTATTGAAAGAAATAAATAAAAAGAAAGTAATGATTCTTTCAGCCATTGTCGGAAGGCTCTTTGTGAAGAAATGATTCGTTTGACTGATAGTTCTTTGATAGAAATAATGGTTTCAATTGGGAAATTAGAATAATTTCAAGAATAAGAAAGGAAGATCGGATCGAAGTATCAATGTCTAAACATAAATATTTCTTTATTCAGAGAGATCCGAAAAAAGGAAATGCTTTGGAATGGACGGATGGAAGTTCGGTGGATTTCACGAATTGGATGGTGGGAGAGCCGGATTCGAACACCCACGCTGCGGTGAGATTTTCAACGTGAAATCATCAATATTTATTCCAATTTGCCATGCATAATTAATCCAAAAATATTTGGATCAATCTTAGGAGATTTATTTGTGTAAAATAACGGAGAATGTTTTGTCCAAGGATTTTCATCAGAAATGAATACTTTTCAGCTTTGGAGCAACAATGGGGAATGGGTGGTCTATTCTCCTACCTCTCAGTGGCATTTTATCTGCAAAAGGAGCTCTCAATTCTGATAAATACTTTGTGTTCCTTTCTGTGGACAAGAACCAATGATCCAATCTTATTCAGTCTTCTGGAAACACACAACTGCACATTATCTCTTTCTTTATTTCTGAAGGTATATCTAATGCTTTAACCTTTCAGAATTACCTACTTTAGCAAACATTCAGTGCCAAGAAGACGACCTCAAAAAATTATTTTTTGAAATACAGCTTCTCTGTAAAAAATTTTTGGCTTAAAAAATACGGATTATAGAGCGTATGGCTCATTTATGCTAGCTTTACCTCAAAAGGAATCGTTTTTCTGGTGCAAAAAGTGAGCTGAATTTAAGCTTGGAAAATAAAAATTCTTCAAAAATATCTAAAATTTTAAGGGAAAACTTCACACAATTTTTTTACGAGTAATTCCTTGGAGTCGGAGGTGGCTGGACGTCAAGCAGTCCCCTCCGGAGGTTCAACCCAGGGGGGGTTGAAAAAATGGTATTGAACCCTGCGGAAATTTGCTCTGTCGTTGTTCATTTTGGCTTTCTTTGTTTTAAAAGCATACTAGGAAGCATACTCGGAAACTTTTCTAAAGAAAGTGGCATGTATTGGATACCACTTGAAAGCTCTAATTCTCAGCATCATTATTACATCCAAGATTTTTTTGGCCAGAGCTAATTATTGACCCATACTCGCCTTCGATATGAGCTCACAAGCACCCCACGGCGACCTGCCATTTGTCGTGGTTTTTTTACATAAAAATCTGTCGAAAAAAACAGGAAATACGACCAAATTCGTACATATTTTATGAAAATTGCTTTATTTCAATACTCTGAAACCAAGAGGACAATCCAAAAGTGCCTCAGACAGCAGAAGCAGACATCCCGAAAAACGTGAATTTCACTACTCGCCGCAAAATGGCGGTTTGCAGCAAGTTGTGAGCCCGTTTTAAGAAAGAGTTTGCACATGCTCGGTTAGAGTTTGCCTTTATTTTGAACCAAAAGTATTGGGAAAAGATTACCCAGTTGAAAACAATCATTTCAAAACACACCTTACATTCAAAACCACGAAAAATGGCAGGTCGCCGTGGGGTGCTTGTGAGCTCATATCGAAGGCCAGTATGGGTCAAAAATTAGCTCTGGCCTAAAAATCTTTGATGTATTAATGATGCTGAGAATTAGAGCTTTCAGATGGTATTGCTACATGCTACTTTCAGTAGTTTTTTTGGAAAAGAATGGATTTCCAAAAACTGGTTGCCATAATTTTGGCAACCAGTTTTTTCCAGATGGAGATTTTATGTTTAGATAATGCAAAAGGCCATGAAAACACCCGAAGCTATCGATTAGAGTGTGTTCCTCTCGAATAATGCGTTTTCTATTTGAGAAAACTACCATAGTCAAACCTCCAATTTTCATTCAGTTAGCCCAATTTTTGTATCATTCGATGAGGAATTAAAAGGCTCCGTCAATGATACCAAAATCTGGCTTTGTCGAGTTATCGTCGTTTTTTTCAATTGCACAAATTCCGTTTTTGAAAAAGGATCGCTTTCTCAGCCTGACCAAATGTTTTGTGTGGTCAATGGTTGAAGTATTGTACAAAGAGAAAAAAAGCTCAAATCTTTGAGGGTTTTCGGAAAGCGGCGATTGGAATTGCAATGGATGGCCAATTCGACTCTCCAGGATATTCAGTGGAATTTTGTGCTGTGACGGCTATCGAAATCGAAACCAAGCAAGTAATAGATTTTGCCATTGTTCACAAAAGTGAAACTGAAAACAAAAGCGGTGCAATGGAATTAGAAGGAGTGAAACGGTCAATTTGTTTCAGCGAGGCAAAGGCAGATATTGCTAGTGTGATACTAGCAATATCTGCCTTTGCAAACAGATAAAAATAATCAGATTGTATCTTACCTCCAAAGACGCAAATTCAAGGTCTATTTTGATCCTTGGCACCGATTGGGTTCATTGAAGAAAGAGTGTATGGCAGCAACGAGAAAATTAAAAGGGGATCAAGAGAAAAAGCAAATGAGAGACTTATCACGTCGCTTTCTTGTACATTGCTACAAAGCCGTTGAACAATTTGGAGCTAATCCGAAACAATGTGTGGAAAAGGTTTTCTCATTCTTTTTCCACATCCAAGGCACCCACAACTGGGCGAATGACTCATTCGCTAAACTTCTTGTTCATTCCCAGGAGATAAAATTGGGTACAAAATCCAACACGGAAAAGTTTATCGCAATGACAGAATGCTCACACCCCTTGAACTATCAATCTTCTCATGACCCAATTCTTTCCACCTCTAAAATCTATTCAATGCTTCTGGAAATTTATCAAATTTAGCAAAGACTTGCTTCATAAGCGACTTTGAGCGAATGAGAATTGATAATATTACATCCTATGTTGAAAACTTTCATTCACTCTGCATCAAGTATCGTCCGAAAAGAAAATATTTTTGTCGAAAAGGATTTGAATATCGGACTATGCTGGCAGTTTTGGATCATAATACAAAGATTCAAGCCGAGATGGCAGGAGAGCGCCAAGTAGAATCCAGCTACCGTTGTTTTTCGAAAGCCAAGGGAGCTTATGTTACGAAAAAAAAGAAAACCACAATCGACCACAAATGGAAAAAAGATCTAATTGTGTCAATCAAAGCGCTGAAGACGTCCTACGGTGGAGGAGATCCAATCACTTCTGGTGAAGATGCGCTGGAAATTGATAAGATAGGAAGCCGTTTTGAGGAACTGCTGTACTTGAGCGAAGATGAAAGTGAGCAAGAGGAAGAATTATAGATTAACAACTTATTTTTATTGTTTTTTGTGCTTTTTATTTTGTTTTTAAATTTATCTGCAATAAAAACTCAATCGATCTAGACTGTGCTGAGGTGTCTGATGATTGACGATCTTGTTTTTCTCCAAGCCTTGCAGCATCTCCAAAAATTTGTAAACCCATCAAATCACTCTAGCCGGGTGATTTTTATTCTTTTTATAATAAAATCAGCGATATTAAAATAAACGAAAACGAATTGAAGTTGATAAAACGTTAAAAAGCGCAAGATTGACGCGGCAAGGAGTCGTTGTAAACAAAAAGAACGGTTCTACGGAATAATTTTGGAAGAAAAGGATTCGAATACAAGGCAGTCATATAACTAGGCGCTCTATGGAGGGACATTGTGGTTTTTGCACGAGAGAAGAGAACGGGTGGCAGAAATAGAAAAAATGTAAGATTGGCTAATTCAAGAGCACGCGAAAAATAAAATAATTGTTCGACTGAATGTGACAATTTGTGACAGTAAATTGAATTGAGTAAATAACGATTTACAAATGACAGGGAATTTCAGTTCGAAACGGCTCAATGTGTCGATTCTTTTTGGAAAGATGAGTCGTAATGGTGTTCGTTGAGAACTTTTAAACGTAAAAGGATACTTTTAAATCGCATAAAAGTTAGTTCAAAGAGACGCGACAATACTTTTCTGTAAAGGAAATTGAATGGAGTTTCGCAAAGTCTGTGGAACACACATGAAAATATCAACCCCGCGTTTTGTCATTCACCAACTTCACACAAACCGACGGTTTTTTGTCTCCTGAAATGCCACTTTTTTTGCTTAACACAAAAAAGTTGTTGAAAATCGTTGTTGTTGAAAGAGTCTAATGTAGTGATATGTACATAGCTAAATGATTTCATCAAACAAATTCCTTCAAAAAATGGGATTTCATTTGGTTTTTGACTATAAAGACACACAGCTCATTATATCTACAATACATACATACTTGCTCTACTTGCTTAATCGATAAGATTACCCAAAAAGAGACAAAAAACTCCGCCTCAAGAAGTAACAATGAGTCGAAAAAAAGCATAAATCGAATATTTGAGAACTTCAGGAACAAAAATCAAAGACAAATCGACGAGTTGAGGGACGAGAAGAGCGAGAATCGTCAGTTTCCTCCTGCTGATGTCCATTGACGTTCAACACCTTTATCTAATAGTCTATTCAGGAGCGACGAGAGAGCAAAATACTTGCAGCTTCAGGCGGAATTCTGGGTTTTTGGGAAAACTTTTTAAATAAGATTTTGAACAAACAATTCAGAAATCAAGAAAAAGATAATGTGCAGTTGGGTGTTTTCAGAAGATTGAATAAAATGGGATTTATTGGTTTTTGTCCACAGAAAGAAACATAAAGAGTTGATCAGAATTGAGAGCTCCTTTGGCAGATAAAACGATACTCTCTGGTAGGAGGATCGACCGCCCATTTCCCATCGTAGCTCGGAAGCTGAAATGTGTTCATTTCTGATGGAAATCCTTTGATAAAACACTTTGAGTTATTTCACAAAAAGAAATCGATTGATCGAACTATTTTTGGATTAATTATGCATTGGAAATTGGAATAAATATTGGTGATTTCACCCTGAAAATCTCACCACAGCGTGGGTGTACGAATCCGGCTGTCCCGATCTCCAATTCGTGAAATCCACCGAACTTCCATTCGTCCATTCCAAAGCAGTTCCCTTGTTCGGATTCGAAAGCCATCTTTTCTGAATAAAGAAATTTTTGTATTTAGACATTGATATTCCGATGCGATTTTCCTTTCTTACATTATTTCGATCAAATCGTTTTTTCTCCGAATCATTCTTTCCGCTTTGCCTTCTTCGTTTCGAGTTACACATCGCTGAAAAAGGCTTATCTAATCTGATCATTTTATATCGCCATTCTAATGGGTTTTATGTATCCGTAACAAGTTAAATTCTGGTGTTTGAACTCCAAATCTCCAATGGATTGACCCAATCTTGTTGAAGGAATGGATTGACTGAAGCTTTTTGAGACACTTTATTGGTTGTGCGATCGGCAGCTCAGATCCCAAGGTTGTTCTTGCACGAACCTTTTTGGGCATTGATGAATGCATCTGTCAGAATCTTGACTTTGGCCGCAACGTGGATCTCCAAGATTGACCGGAAAGGTTGGGGAAATTTTGGGCAGTTCAGTTCACCAAAGAACCCTTGATCTGAAGTTGAATTCTTAGAGAGGTTACTATAAGGAAAT